AATGGATAAAAAAAAATGTGGCATATATACACTATGGGATATTACTCAGCAATAAAAGAGAATAAAATCATGGCATTTGCAGGTAAATGGATGGAGTTAGAGAAGATAATGCTAAGTGAAGTTAGCCAATCCCAAGAAAACAAATGCTGAATATTTTCTTTGATATAAGGAGGCTGATTCATAGTGAGATAGGGAGAGGGAGCATGGGAGGAATAGATGAATTCTAGATAGGGAAGAGGGATGAGAGGGGAAGGGAGGGGCATGGGGTTATTAATGATGGTGGAATGTGATGATCATTATTATCCAAATCATTATTATATCATTATTATCCTCCAACCACATCCACCAGGTATGAAGACACAAATTAGTGTGAATATACTTTGTATACAACCAGAGATATGAAAAATTGTGCTCTATGTGTGTAATAAGAATTGTAATACATTCCACTGTCATATATAAATAAAAAGAAAGAAAAATAAATAAATATAGCCATATCTTCCTTAAAATAATACGATATATTTCAAGAGCTAGAACAACATTCACCTGCTTTGAACTAGCAGTTCCATCCCTGAGAAGATGTTTGAAGACACAGCCCTTCCCAAAGGAAAATGCCGTCTCTCCTAAGTGACCACCATGGCACTGTGGATAACACTGGAGAACTGGAGCCAACCTACATGCCAGTGGTAGGACACCAACTGTGTGAACATTTTCCAATATCAAAACAATAATTAGGCTGGGGATGTGGCTCAGTAATAGAGCACTTACCTAGCATGTGAAGGTCCAGGTTCAATCTCAGTACCACAAAACAAACATTAAAAAAAAAAAAAAAAACAACCTCTAGTTAAGGAACTCACACTGCAGGGTGAATATAATGTTAAGTTAAACAGGCATATGCAAAATTGCTTCTATAATTAAAGCTACACATGAAGTATATGAACATTTGGATAAGGATTCACAGAGATTTTTTTTGAATGAGACCAGAATAATTGCCAGAAGGGTGAGATTTGAGATATTTTCTCTTTTTCTCATTGATTTCCATTATGATATTCACAGTATTAGTATATAATTTATACCTTTATTGCCCCCCACCACAGAAAAGCCCTCTGAATCCTGCCCTCATGGAGGTCAACCACAAGGAATTCCAACACTTCCCTCCTTCTTCCATGCCCTTGTCTTCCTCTGCTCTGAGCAACGTTTTTAAAGTCTTCCTCTCCCACATACCTAGCTGACGGCCAACCAAAACTCAATTCTATAATGAGATTTCTCCAAACCCCAAAGTGAATTTCTGAATCAGTTATGGGTAAAGGTTAACACTGCCCTAATGAGATTATCCCCAGCCTGGCCCAGCCTGGCCCAGCCAGGCTTCCAAGTGCCACACAGACTAGGCTCCCATGAGGCCTCCCCCAGCACAGGAAAGGTTACCCTGCACAGAGGCATCCCAAGAAGCCTGGAGAACGCTGGGCCCCCTACTGACAGCAGGCACTGTGGTTGTTACCGGTGAAAGTGGATCATGAAGCTCTGATTCTGAAAAAATGTTTCTAACACCTGTAAGACCCAGCAATAACCACTCAAGTCCTGACAACACTGATGAAGCAAATCCTAGAATAACCGGATGAAGGAATTATTTTAAAACGGAATGTACTTTCTTCTCACCACTATTCCAACCACAGTGGATATGCCAAAATATTTTTAAGGGGGAGATGAATTTGTATTTAAAAATAGGTGCACTGGCTTTTCCATCCAGGCTTGCTTGGAAAATCACCTTCCAAAGTTCCACTGAAGAGTGCAGAATAAATGAAGTGACTCCATTCATGAAGTATTAGTGCCCTACATATGACAAACTCTTACTTTTTGTCAGTAAGAATAGAAGAAGTGAAAACGAGTGTGATAAATAATGAACTGACTCTGTTAACGTAGCAGTAAGGAAAAGCCTCTCTCCTCTGCCTTCTACTGCGTCACTGCAGGAATGGAAAACAGTTCAGTCTAGAAAGAGATAAGCAGGACTGATTGCAATCCTTTCCTCTTGCCCACAACAGGACCAGCCCTTCCCGCCCTCTGATGACATCTCAGATACGGAGCATGACAGATGACCAAAGGGAAGGAGTCGTGGTCGGTAAAGGTTTCATGGTGTAAAAGGTGGCTAACATTCTTACAACATGCACTCATGATCCCAGCTACCCTACAGCATCATGGAAACACTCCTTCTACAACACCAAGTGTCCAAAATAGAACTGCGTCTGTGCTATGGTCACAACCATTTAAGAACTATAGATGCATTTGAAAATGCACCAAGAAAGAATATAGAAAGACAAAAAGAACTGCCTTGCTATGGCAGTGGAATAGTGGGTACTCATTCCTCTGTGCATCTGTGAAATGTGTGTGCACATATGTGGGTGCAGGCGTGTGTGAGGCCCCTCTTAGCTTCCCTCGCGTGGACCACTAGCCAGTTAAGATGATCAGACATGGATCCCGGTTCCTGACAGGACAAAGATGAGTAGGGGAGGAGCCTTCCGGCTCTCCATGAGCATTAGCTCAGAAAGAATTCAGTGTTCTGCACTGCACATTTCACCTAAGGAGAGTTTTAGTCTATAGCAATTAACAATGAAGCCTGACGTTGCAAGACTTCACATCGGTGCTTCTCAAACCTTAATGTGCATGTCAATCAACAGGAGGTCTTGCCCAAACACCAACTCAGATCCAGCAGGCCTTAAATGCATCACCTGGTTACATTTCTGACAGGCTCTCTGGGAAGCTGATGCTGCAGGCCCACAGACTACCCTCTGGGTGCAGTGTTCCATGTCATACAAAACCCACCTTGGTTCTGACACTTAGAAGTGGGAAAAGACCCTCAACGCTGAGCTTTTCCAGGTTCTAAGCAATCCCAGAATGCCCACGTTGGAGAAACAGGCTGAGAGGGGTGAAGTATCTCTCGTGAGTCAGAGAATGTCAGAAAGAGAGTCCTGGCTACAGACCCAGACTCACCCCAGGCCTGCCCTCCCCACCACCACCTGTAGCAGATGTAAAAAGAGGCCTGAAAGAACAGCTCACCCTTCACATTTGGCAGATACTGGCTCCAAAATAGATTCGTTTGGTGGGATGGTCCTAGCGTGGATGGGAAACAGTCCTCCAATAACAAGTGAATGATTCTGGGCATCTACGTATCCGTTCAAATCAAACCTGCCCAGCAACCTGCAGGTCTCTTCCTCTTGCTTTTCTGAGCCTTCAGAGGCCAATCCAGCCCATAAAAATGCAAGGAGTCCTAAGACCAAGCACCGCTTTCTGCTGGCCATGTTACCAAGGCGAGTCTGGGGAAAGCGGCTAGTGTTGAAATCATGCAGGCTTTGGGCAGGCACCCTGGTGGAGCAGCACGGTGCCATGTCAGGTCCCAGTGGGCTCGGCTTGCTGTGACCTGCTTCATAATTGTCAGGCCTCACTCAGGTGCAACTCCTCACAATTACTTGCAATTTATGGATCTGGACTGGGAGCCAAGGGATCCTTTTAAGAAGAGCCTCCTAAAACTCCCTATTATGCTTAGGAACAGTACATATCACAGGATAGTGGCCTTGGGGCTTGAATGATCCATTTATTTTAGAGAGATTGTCCCCTTCATGGTCATGGCTCCTTCATTCACTTGGGTTACGAAGGGCACCCTGTGTCATCACAAAGTGCCAACGGGGTGACATCAGGCCAGCTCTTGAAAGGGTACAGTAAACCTTGAGTGCAGCATCATGGGATTTGGAATGGAAGATGTCACTCTGGATCTGTGTCCTGCCATTTCTCATCAGTGCTGTGCCTCGGTTTCCCCATGAGTGATAGAATACCCAGCAGCCTTAGAAAAAATGTCGTAGGGCCCACAGAGCCCAGTGGCACTTCTCTGCTGCTGTCTTTAACCTGCTCCTCCAGAGCCAGTGTTGCCCTCAGCTCATCTGCTGGTTCTGGCTCGTATCCTTGGGGTTCTTTCCCAAGAGTCCTCCCCTTCCCTGTCTTGCTAGCCTGTCCCTGAGGCTTGGCCCAGTCCCTTTCCCCAGGTCGACTTCCTATGAGTCCACCCCCTGGTCCCCCCTGTCGGTTCTTTCTCAAGCATCTCTCCTTGGGGAATAAGAATATTTTGAGAACACAATCCAGCAAAAGTATCAGGAGCATGAAAAAGTACATAGACCCTTTGATCAAGTGGTCTTTACTCCAAAGTATCTCAAGGACATAATAGAGATCCATACAAAACTTGATGTATAAGGATACTGACTACAGTCTATTTATAATAGCAAAAAACAACCAACTAGAAGTACACAGGGCGGGGGTATTTTAATCAGTGATGATCTCTCTATTCACAAGGTGGGATACAAAGGAGCCGTTTAAACTATGTTCTAGAAAAACATCAGGGAAAGATCAACATATGTGCAGAGTGAAGATAACATAGAAAGACTGCATTCTAGGGGCTGGGGCTGGGGCTCAGAGGAGAGTGCTCACCTAGCATGCCTGAGGCACTGGGTTCCATCCTCAGCACCACATAAAAAATAAAATATTGTGTCCACCTATAAAAAAAATTTTAAAAAAGACTGCATTCTACATTTCTGAAGCTTACCAGCATTCTATAGCTCTCTTTCACCTTTGTATTTCCATTCAAAGGTTTGGGGAAAGTCTCTGCAAACCAGAAATTAAAAGAAGGGAAAGCAGGGCTGGGGTTGTAGCTCAGCGGTAGAATGCTTGCCTCGCATGTGTGAGGCACTGGGCTTGATTCTCAGCACCACATATAAATAACAAAATAAAATAAAGGTCTAACAACACCTAATTTAAAAAAAAAAAAAAAGAAGGGAAAACTTTCCCTTTTCTACCCTTTCAGCAAACCCATCTTTTCAATCCTCATACTGGTTTCAGGAACCAATCCTCACTCTTGTGCAGTACTTCTTGGTGTTTAATTATGTGTGGTTTTAATTTTCTTCTTTATACTTTTCTATGTTTTCCCATGCATTCTACAACACAATTTCTTACACTTCTTTTATGAATGAAAATATTGATGAAAATAAATATCCCTCCTGGGCTGAGGATGGGGGCTCAAGCAATAACGCGCTCGCCTGGCATGCACAGGGCGCTGGGTTCAATCCTTAGCACCACATACAAATGGAATAAAGATGTTGTTTCCACTGAAAACTAAAAAATTTTTAAAAAAGAAGAAGAAAAGAAATATTCCTCCTATTTTTACAATTCCTCCAAACCTGCTCATTCAACTGCCAATTTCCCCCAACACACACACACACACACACACACACACACACACACATACAAGTTCATGTACCACGCCCACACCATTAGCATCATCAGCCGGCCGGACCATACCTAAAGCTTTCCTTCACCACATCCCCACTAGGGATCCCCAAATAGTGGGTCAGGTATAATCTCCATCTGATCCCAAAGATGGGCTCCTACTCCTGGCTTGCACACGCAATCCATGGCCTGCTCTTCCCTCCCAGGTGAGCTCATAGGTGATACAGTCTTGGCCCCAACCAAGTGACATCTGTTGAATAGCCTGCCAGTCTTCACTTTCTGGCATGTGGGTGGCTCACAGGCCCTGGCCTCACGCTTTCAAACCATGAGAGTCTCGGGAACCTCTCATGTCTCTTCAATAAGCTTCAGAGTGTGGCTTCACCCAAGCAAAATGGTGGTGTCTGGGTGCCCGCCACAACTCACTACAGCCTGAGAGCCCTGCCCTGAGCCATAAATCCAGACATTCAGAGGGGTTCCTCACTCTTTCCTACCTTTCTCCCAGAAGGCAGCCTTTTCCAAACTGTCTGCAAAGGTACGGTCACCACCCAAGCTAACTTGTCTGAATCATCTGGAGAAGTGCAGTGCCTGAGACCCTAGACGGTGGCTAGCACAGACCAGGTCGTGACTGACAACTGAGAACTCTCACTGCACACTGGACGTTTGGTTCTCACAAACCTTATTTTTCCTGTAGGCCAGGAATTGGATTCTAAAGCCCAGCACCAGCATCCGGTACCCACCACTTCCGAGATCCTCAGAACAACAGTGCAGCTGACCAGGGCCACTCGGATGGCATCCTCCAGGTGTGGTAGGACTCACAGAAGGTAAGGCTAAGCAGGGAAAACAGCGCTCTAGCTCTTATACTAATGCACAACCCCTCATTCTGCCCTCGTGACACTCCATGCACTGATCCTGTTTGGGTCACTTCCCTAACCAAGAAGCATGAGGTCCCATGGCTGGGACGTGCTATGTGTAGACCCCAAGCCCACGTCCTGCCTCAGACCCTACAGAGAGAAAACACCCGACAAGCCCAGAGTCTGGGTCCCCACTCTGGCTTCTCCACTGCCTGGCCCTCTCTGGTCTCTTGCAGCTTCAGGCCCCTTATCACAAATGGGGCTTAAGACTAAGCAGCTTCCCTCAGAGCCTGCGTCCCAAGAGTCAGCGAAGGCTGAGCGAGCCTCTCCAAGGTGCAATGGGGGAGAGCTTCCTGAGAGGCTGCCATGCGGGCAGCGGTCAGTCGCTCTGCTACCTGTGGGGATGGGACTGTTTCTGTGGAAACACTCATCACCCTTCCCACAGAGCTCTGACGAGGAGAAGCCCTGCCCCCGCTGTGTGTTTTCACCACTGTCCCCCAGCCGAGCTTGATCCTTGCAACTCTCTGAGGGCCCTGGCGAGGGCCAGGCTCCTTCCGAGAACAATAACACACTCTGTCCAGGCTTGTCTTTGCCTGCCAGCAAAAGAAGACACCTGAGCCCACGAAGGTTCTAGAACCATCTGATGAACTAAAAGGCTGCTAGAGCTTCCAGCTCAAACCCCTTAGCTTCCTAATCATCTGAAACCCAGGTAACACGCCATTCGAGCAGGTGAACCTGTGCCCCTGTCTATGCCATCTTCTCATTTCCTACGCAGAGCTGTCCCTCCACACAGAAAGGGGCACACCTAGTCACGTGTGCTTAACTGCTGTCTACTTAGGGGACAGATACTGGCTGCTTCCATGTATGTCTCCAACGGATGAAAAATCGCTTCCTGTAACACGATTTTGGGGACATAAAGAACTATGGCTTGCTTGCTAAAATAAAAATAAACCAGTTTTGCTAAGTCTATTTTCTTCTGAGATTCAAGTTATAATAAGGGACTGTGAGGTCCTTAAGAAGGGGGCTTTAGATTCTCTAAAAGATCAACACTAACTGCTAGTTACAGAAGAGCCCCGGGTGTCAAATGGAAAAGGCGCCCCCTAGAGCCAAGGTGGGAGCCAAGGTGGGAGCTGCTCAGATACTGGACTCCGCAGGGCTCTAAACAGCGGTCTTCAACGGAGGAACCACACTTCCCACCTCTTCTGACCATCTTCTCCCAGGGGAAGCAATTCTGCACCCTGATTAAGCCCCTGCCCCCAAATCAGCTGACTCAAAGAGACTCCTGCACTCCCCACCTGACACGGCAGGTAGTGACATAGGGGCCTGCCCTGCAGTAAGAGACTCACTACAGCAGGTGAGCGGCTGCCTTATGGGCCCCAAAGAGCCCAGCTTGGGGTGTTAATAGGGTTTGGCAGATGGGGAGATGGCTAGACCCCCAAAATGGAGCAACCTGCCTGCCTCCAACTCCAGCCCGTCCTCACAATGGAATGCTGTTGGTGTCCGGCCCAGGTCAGTTAAAACAAAATATATAGCTTTGTGAAGGTATAATTAACATATCCTACGAAGACTCGTTTAGGTGTAAATTCAGTATTGTTTTAGTACATTTGTGGAAGTGTGCCACTATTCTCAGAAGCCCCCCAGTAGGCCTCCTGCATCCTCCAGTGTTGCCCCAGATCAAAGCAGAGCCTGCCCTGTGCCTGGAGCCACTCCCAGGGAACCTGGCGGCACTGTGGAGGGAATTGGGGACAGGAGCTGCTGAAGGCCAGCCTTCTGGCATGAAGGCCAGAAGGAGAAGGGAGAGGAGGGAGGCCGGAGGGGGCGGGAAGATGGCGATGGAGGAGGGAAGAGGACTCAGCGGTTCCCGCAGGGTTTTCCTGTCTGTGGAGTGCTGAGCCCTGGACACTGAAGAATGGAAATGTAGGCTGGGTGCCATCTGCCGCAGGCTGTGTGGTGTCCTTTCCGTGTGGCTAACCCAGAGGCCACTGGCCTTGCTGGGAAGGCTCTGGGTGTGCAGCACAAGTGGTCCCATGACTCCATTCCCTCCCCTTCAGTTGTGTCCCATGCAGCTTCTGTGAAATCACTGTTCTATTAACTGAATGCCATTTGGTAATGGGAGGATAGGGGGGAGCTGCAGCTGTTTTGTTGACATTCTAAATGTCTCATAGCATACACAATTT